TTACATCAGTCTTAAATGTAATGTATAAATAAATGATAAACATGATATATCAATATAACGTCCTCGTGATTCCTCCTATTCTGCACAAAGTCTAAGCTCACAAGATTATCTTCCTGGAGTTACATACACCGTAATGCATACATTATGGCACACTGGTCGTTTTCTGGTTGTGACGCTTCGGCATGCTAAAAGAAATGGGTGAGTAACTCCACTTACTAAACTGATCTCCTTCATTATTTGCCCCAAACACTATACCAAAGTATAGTATGATTGTATCTAACGAAGTTAGTTACACGATAACCAAGAATACTATATCAAGCATGTGTCATATTTATTGTTTCATTTGCACAGACAAGTAGTAAAATGTAGTAAATTAAGCCCATAAACTCAGAACACGAACTATAAGCCAGTACGACTTAACAGAGGACAAAAGATATTGTTTTGAGACTGAAGGCAACAGTTTACAGTATTTAACAGCACAATGACTCTTTCTCCAGTAACATTATTCACTGAAGTTCTGCTTAAAAACAACGATGTGATTAAATTAATTATAACTTAAAACATTATTCCAGGGTGCAATTTATATCCGGCGTAACACAGTCAGAGGCGGCAAATAAAAATTACAGCCACAGCAAAATTCACAGCACATACTAGTTTCTTAATAAAAAATAATCATAATATGACAAGTCAAATAACCACATGAACGTGAACATGACTGTTATTCCAGTTTGCGATACATTAGGTTTACGTGGTGACTTCGAGTTTAAAACTACCTAAAGTGTTTTATTCACATTGACAAATCGCCTTCAAATGCGATATTACTTGATTTATATAACAGTTGGTTGTGAGAAACTTTAAAAAAAACCTTAATGAAGTTAATGTAGATGACACTTATAGGAAAAGTTCAGTTAGTGAGATATAAATCACCGGTTCTAAAGTCATGCTGATTTTCAGAAAGAACCCGGTTTTCGTCGAGATACCTAGACAACGCCTCCTGAATAATCTTTGTTAAGATTTTAAAAACTACGCCAGTTAGGTTTACGAGTTTATAGTTCTCAGGTTTATGTCTCGTATGTGTTTCAAAGATACGACATACTATAACACTCTCCTAGTCTCCAGGTAATCGACCCTGGATTACAGATATATTAAAATATATACTTAAGGGATTCGCGACACAATTTGCTAATTCCCGTAGTAATCCATGGATTTACCTATATCATAGCGTCCAGTATGTGTGTATGGGAGGAGGCTGAAGAGCAGTGCATCGCCGCGGTATATACATTGCCTATGTAATTTTAGAATAACCGAGCTTTACTATAATCTTTCTCCACTGATGATGCAGTACTACTGTCTTTCCATGATAGTGGAATGTTTCATCTTCCCTTGGTCCTGTGGTAGGTCTTTTGACATGTTCTTCCTCGCACAACCTGCTAGATTGGCGGAGGGTCGAGGTAAAAATATTTCAAGCATCCCAACATTAAAATTTCGTTTCGTCAGTATCCAGTAACCAGTCTCTCTCACGTTCTTCGCCTCTTACAGAGAAGGGTGCTAAACTGTCTACTGAACCACGGTGGAGTTTGTCGAACCCCTCAGTGTAGTTCAAGGCATGTATGGTGCAGTGACCTTTACCCATAAATTTCCCACCACATCCCAAATCGTTTCAACGAGGGATTCTGGTTCTATTGGCCAATCTACCAAGGAAGCTTATGTATAATATCTTGCATATTTGCTTTCCAGCCGTTTGGTCTTATTTGGGCTGACACATCCTCATTATCGAAAATTAGATGGAAACCAAAGTCTAGAACTGTATAACCACTTTTACCTAGGGGTGGCGCATAATAGAGGATTGAGCTATCATCTTCATATTGGGTTATTATGAGATGTAATAAGGACTCGAAGAAGATCCGAAGAACATTTTAATTGATTAGTGCTGCACCCAGAGTAGCTTCAGCGTCATCTGTCAAGGCGTCACCGCCCAAAAACCTTCAATTGTAAGGCCCTTCTCGCGATTATCTCGCCCTAGTTTTACTTTTTTCAATTTCTCGTCTTTTCATACGGTCCACTGGCGACAATCCTTTGCGGACAAATACTCCTGATCCCGTTGGTTCATGTCGATTCTCTAGTTTTATGTCACTCACTTATTTAGATGCTACTTTCAGCAACCTGATTTGATTCTGTCACAAATCCATTTGGCTACCTAGTTTATAAACTACGATAAGTCTTCAACTTCTCAGCTACCGTTTGGTGTATTGAAATTTCTTTAGTAATACTAGGTCGTTTCTTATTCTTGATCTGTACCTATTCATCAACATTCACTGAGTAGCAGTCACAGTCACGTTACACACACTGTGGAATCCTGTGCGATAGTCGATGACTTAGGTTTTCAATGCCATAAATGACTTAGCATTGCCACCCAGTTTGAAGACGTTCCCTGCGCACTGTTACTCCGAGGGTGGGGGACAGAATAAAATCCCTTTCTTGAGGATTCACCTCTAACATACCTATTTCTAGGTCATCCTTCCTCCGTTGACCCATGTACGTCAAGCAACTCTGCGTTTATTTGAGGTAACTTCACATCAACTTGTGTTTCGACCAAGCGAGTATCATTCGATGTGTCCCAATTATGCTTGCTAATACTCCTTTTAGCAGCATTCACAATTGCAGTGGCTCCGAATGGCAAGCTGTTCGCATCCGAGCATTGACATTCACCGAACTGCTTGAAGGACGGTTTGGCTTGAGTTCAGTGGCATCCCACAAGGTTGACACAACAAAACAAACGTCTAACAGATACATTGCAATCAAGGACCTGTATTGCAGGCTCTAAGAATGCACGATTACAATTGTAATTTAAATATAATGGGCACATGTAAATACTCAAGAATATCTTATGAAAGTTGTAAGTTGCACTATATGCTCAAACGTTATGCAAAGTTAAACGAGTAACTGAGTATTAGTAAACAGAATCGAGTGATATGCCGAAGGGAGTGGAACAGGAAAAAATATGGAGAGAATAAAACAGAAGTTAACACTATATCTCTACATGTATTTAGACACACCGTCAATTGCAGTATTTATAATCTTATGTGTTTGTCTTTAACACATCTTATATAAGAATAATGAAGACTAGCATCATCTGGTCCTATCGTACAGAGAGTATCTAAAAAGCTACAATGCACAGACAGTAACTTAGAAAGGGTTATCGCTACTATTATCACTTTCAAATTTTTTTTCGGAAATTCAGTGAAATAACCGTACTTTTCGTGCTACCAACACCCTTCCGAATGCTAGTTATGATTTCACCGTTGAAATATCATTAATAGGCTCTGATAACCGTACAGAAGAGTTGCATAACCCTATCAGGGAAATTGTAAGCTGTAAAAATGAGCAATATCGACTTGTAGGTACTGAAGATTCTCCAAAATGAGACACTCTCCATCCCCAGAATTTGATAATAGGGAATTGGTTTTAGAAGCGGTTTACCTAATTGCTCTTTTTAGTTAAGTTTTATTTACCACGAACCGTCTTCCAGAATGCTTTGAGAGATTCATGACATTGGTACCCCTAGAAACTAAGGTTGTCAAAAAAACTGAAAACTGGCGACTCTCAGTGAACCTAACCCCAGTTTCATTTGTATTATCTCAAAATAAAAAATAATCACAGCTCCAACCGAGGTTAACCAACTGTACATCATGCCATAACTCTGAACTTTGCTTTTGAGTTTCTTGAAAAGCCTTGAATTATTGCTCCTATTCATCTCGAATGCGGTGGTTCCTTCAACTTAGATGCTGGAGAACGGGGACCACAAAAATCACTTACGGACTAATAAACTAGCTATAGGAAAGCATCTAGAAAATATACTGAAAATCAATCTTGATGATTGATAGTAGTCTCCAGGCTCTAAGTTATTTATTCTCCCTAAGAGATGAGTTGTTGCAAAATCAAAGTCACATGAAAAGACACAGAACATGGTATTCTTATCTAGTGTACACAGACACTAATAATTTTACTAGATTGAATACAAATGAAGATTTGAAAAACGTTCAAGGTGTTTTCCACTGAACTGCGTAGCTGTAATTTCATTAATTATCATTGTGTTTATTGGTGTCGCAAGTAATTAATCACCATATTTGAGAATACCATTATGTACTCTGGTATTCCATCTATTTACATCGATTATTAGTTGTCTGAAAGCAATGACATCATTGCTCATTTGAAATAAAGATGTAAAAAGTGTAACATTCCCTGAACGGTCGAGTCATGGAGTTGATACATCGGTATCGTTCAGCAGTTCTAACATAACGCCTCATGGCGTCGACAGCTCTAAATTTGCAGCTCCGGATGTGGTTTACGTTGAGTCCAGTGATTCGACATTTCTCCATTGGAGCGCGCGGTCCATCAGAGTGACCAGCATGGGTATGAACAATACTTGTTCCTACCATTGATATTTAGACAACTGTTGTCAATCATACTTCCAAATTACCTCTATGGTTAAAGACCGGAAATAGACTATTTGGTCACAACCTATACATATAATCAAATATAGATCTTCTAAACGGTATAGATGGACAAGAAATTTTTAGACAGTGACGTTTCTGTTCGGTGACCTACTGGTATAATCAGTTGTCAGACTAGATATTTCGTATAATCAATACGTTAAAGATAAATAACCGATACCAGTTTTGAAGAAATCTAGTGTACAGCATGCAGAAAATTAACTAGACTTATAACTGTTAACGTTTCAATCCAGTCAACTTGACAAGAAAGTAAAGGGAGTCATAAAAATATTGTCCAGATTTATTACTTCTGGCTGAATTATTTTTAAGTGAAGAGACATTTGTTGTTCAATCTAATTCATTTTCCACCTAGTTATTTACAATAAAGATAAATAGAACCCATTAACCATGAATAGAATCAAGTCAAATCATACTTGCTAAAAATTAAAATCCACCCCTTAGGGTCTACTTAGACAAAAAATAGTACCAATGACATTTAAAAGTATCTTTTCCTTGAACCTATTTTATTCCAAAGTGATATTCATACGTAAAGAAGTGCACATATAAGTATATAAAAGAATCGATTTGAATCTCGAAATTAAAATTAGATGAAGACAGATTATAAATATTCATTTTCTTTATAACTTGGAAGAATAGTCTGATGAGTGCAAAAGTTATTACATAATTCCATTGTCCAATTACATATTTACTCGTAATATTCAATCAAAGGTATACACTGATTTTGTTTATTATTTTGATTAAATAAAACACAAAATAATCTTATCAAAAACCTAAAGAGCTAAAGTTTAAACATTTACAACCTATAAATTTTATATAATGTAAACTGTTTTATGGCTTTAATCAGATATAAAATCAAGTTCATAATGATAAATAACAACTAATAATAATAAACTTGTAAAACATGTTGAATTGAAAATAAAACCAGGCTTTCAAATACATTCTAACGAAAATGAGATACGATGAAAACGTTTAATGTACATTATGAGATTCATGGAGGCCATGTAGATGATATAGTTTCAGGATTCGATAAACTTGAAAATTGTGGTAATGATCGACGACTTAAACGTACAATCCAATCTAAGATTCTCATTTGAATACGTATTATCTGAGCATTTGTTGTTCGAAGAAATGCTGGGACACCTATACGTTCTAAAGTTAGCTGTTGTTCAACAACACGTCCATCTAATGAATCCAATATTCTTAATGATAGATTACGTAAAGCATCAGTTTGATTTTTCAATAAACGCTAAATAAAACAATTTAAAAAAAGTATTTTCTACATTTCCAATTAGTATTTAAACACTTACTGACTAGGGAGATAAAAATAATTCATGTATATTAAATGAAACCAGTTAGTCAGTTAAAAGACTGTGGAAGGATCCTTCATATATATATATATATATATATATATATATATATATATATATATATGTTACCTTACCTGTACCTTATATGTTGTCAATTTGCAAATACAAAGATGATTCATACTTAGACAGTTGAAGCGGGTCCTTTTCGGCCTCTTCTATCTGTACCCCCCTAATAGCTTTCCATATTCATTGCTTTCTTATTATTAGTCTATGGTCAATGTTCATGTTTAAAATATCTGAATCTTGAAGACACTTCTTAAACAACTTTTGTTTATAACGTGTATTACAGTGATCGGTCGAGAGAGTAGATCATCGTCATTAGACAGGAGTCAACGCGCGGCTTTAAAAGTACACATTTCTAAGATTTGACAAGAAAAATCTTGATAATGAAGTTCAGATTTTTCAAATCAATAGATAGCATGAAACAACAACAAACATCTAAGAACACAATGTAGAAAAAAAATAAACAAAATGGAGTAATTTACGTGCATTTCTTGTTCATGTTCTTTTTGTAACACCGGTAGATGATGTGGTCGAGATGCATTCATAGACATTTCTTCTTTATGCTTTCGTCTTAAAGCAGATCGACAAGCTAATGTTGAATGCAAAAAGAAGCTCTTAATTTTTAAACAAGCACAAATTATACAACGATAAAAAATGTTCATCTTTAGTTAAGCCAACTATAAAAAATAAATTATCAAAGTGAAGTGACTACTGATCTCATTTGCCAATTTTCGAATAAGAGTATACACAAGAAGAGGGGGAAGAGATAGAAGAGCAATTAACAAGATTGGAAATAGGAAAATGCAAATTACATTGTGAGAGATTGTAAAAAAGTTAAAGTATTATGTCCTCTACTTGATTACAGCAGAGTACGATATACAACTAACGTTCTCAAACGTGTAGAACCCAACGGTCGCAAACCAGAAGACGAAAAAACAAGGGGAGTTATTGGGCAAGAGCCAAAAATGTACATAAAAACAGGGGTATTCAGAATTTTTAGTATTGGCTATAACATCATTATAATTCAGTCAATCCGCAAGGAGGCAATTTATGTTATCGTCCAATCGTAGAACGCCACGTTGATATTCTAGGGGGTTCTACCAGGTTCTGACTGAATGGAATCTCTCCAGCTCCTTTAAAGGCTCTAGAAGTCTCCTCGTGGTTTTCGAAGCCGTCCCAACACAAACAACTTTCCAAATGATTGACCAATGAATAGAGATGAATGTAATGTTTATCTAATCCTTTAATGCTGACTAGAATCTAATGGTCAACTAGTGATATGGTCACTAATCTGAATAACTCAACATTATATGCACTATATTGAGGTTTTCATTGTTCGGAAACAGTAGACAGAAAACAATGAGACTAACTTTTTTATTAGTTAACATTAGTTGTGTACTTGAAACCTTCAATAGACTGGTGCTTCTGTTGGATTCGAACGGGGATTACCCAGTCTGAGACATTTACACTGAGCTACTAATCTCCTATTGGACTGAAATATTTACGATTTATTGATCACTGAGTGGTGAAAAATGTCATGTTTGTTTAGCCCTTTTTATGGTAAATTTAATCCCATTGATTAAGTTGTAATAAGTTGAGAAACATTACCAAGTATCTATGGTTATTTAAACATAGGCTGTCCCCACTTTTGGAAAGAAACTCAAAACCAAACATATCTAAACAAACCAAGGACGATAATATTCACAATCAGCAAAGCTGAAAACTAACCTTTGTGTTTAACACGTATCTTTGATTAACATTTAACTAATTTGGTAGCAAAAACAGAAATAACGTTAAGAAATAGACTTTTATCTTTCAAGAATCCACGATTACGATTCAAAGACTTCAATTCAATTTTCTATCTTACCTTTCAATATTCTGAAGATTTCTTTTCGTACAATAGAGTAACAACATTTTAGGACAATGATTCCAAGTGGGATTTACACATTATAACTATAATCGTAGACATATCACACTTAGCTACTTTGATAATCCAACCATTCATGGTATTTCAAGGATTTCAGTAAACAAGCTAGAAAACTTTTTTATATACAGTATACAGACATAGACTTAGTTAATTCATATGCCAATGACAATGAAAATTATGTTATAGACATTTGAAAGACAGAGCTAAATAAAAGCGTTGAAATTATAGGATAATTGATCGGAACGATAAAAACTGACCAGATTGTTCAGCACGTAAATCAATCAATTGTTTATGCAATATTTGTTCTTCTACACGTTGACTATTGACTAACTCAGAAACTGTTGGGAATACTTTACCCTCTGCTAATATATGCGCCAATTGTGTGATCATATCTTCCGAAATTCCTGTTTGAATATCACTAGAGGGTGATAAAAAAACGAGGATGGAAATTTCAGGAAAAACATTGATTTAGTTATCACATGGTACGACATACCATCCAAGAGCAGAATGAATCGTGAACTGGACATTCAGTTACATTGTTATTGAGTGAATATTACAAAATAATAAACGATATTCCGGCCTGGGACTTATTAGCTGAAAATCAGTCTTCATAAATAAAGTGTTGAAAATAAAGATTAACAATATCGTCCATTTCAGGAAAACTTTATTTCATGCAGCAAAGGAAAACGCCGCTGAGGAGTCCCATCTGGGACGAAACAGTTGACCGTGCTTTCAGGCTTCTAACACTTGTCTAACTTAGGTCAGCTCGTGATTCCGATAAAAGAAAACAATAGAAAACTCACACATTGACTTGTGTTTTGAACTTTAAACCAGTGTCGAGCTATAGTCGGTGGAATAAGTCAGAAAGTGAAAACTGATTGTAATGGCTAATATATTTTAAACATTGTCAGACAATAATTGATAATATTAATGATTATAAATCTCTGATAACAATAATTAACTGGAATACCGTAATACCAAAACAAATCATTCCCAGTTCGGATGCACATTTTAGTCGTGCCGTGATCTTTCTAAGATTTGCTCGCATGTTTGAGAAATGCGTTGTTTATCGACTGAGTAAGCTACGTTGAATTCGTTCGTCGAAAGTATGGAGTGTGGAAAGTTCTTCATCGATGTAATTTGTTGCTAAGTTTTGTCGTCGGGCTCATCACTTTTAGGCGGCACGGTATCTGACTCTAATTGAGTCGTAAGAATGATTGTTATACAAATATAAATGCTGCCAACCCTCGTATAAAATTATTGACTTAAATAGCGTTAATGAATAACGGAACAACATAAACCAAATACGAGAATAAAGTTTGAATACGTATATTCCATACAACCGTTGATATCAACAGACAATCAGAGGGACAAAGTGAAGCAAGCGAAACGAATTAGAGAAGGCATGTTAGCCAACTCGACTTAACCAAGCGTGAATCGATATTGATAGTCAAATAAAAATAAGTTATAAACATATAATGAGTAGGGTAAGTAATTAACACACATACGATCGTATAAAAAACGGTCAGGATTAATAAGCGAATAAGTGATAGGGTAAAAGTGTGGCTTGAGAAGAATGAATAGATTGGTCTGTCCAGAGGCTAGAACAACTTATGTGGGCTTGACTTAGTACCAGCCCCTACAATATCTTACACAAAAAGGAACAAAAAATAGAGAAAAATCATACTCTATCGCAAGTGTATAGTACTGATGAAACTAGGACATGATGAAATTAATCGGGTATTATTTTATACTTTAATTTTTATTTAAAATTGTATTAACTTGTGTAACAACTGAAATTCCAAAGGGTTTTTGTTCATAAAAATAAAGAGTGGATACCAGAAAATGAAACTTACAAAGGAGCTTGTTGAACAAAATTACGTAATTCATTCAAATAATAATAAATTTTTTGCTGAAAATATTCTCTATCAACATGATTATCGCTTAAATCAGTGTTAGTATGAGTTAAATAATTCGAATTTGATACATCTGATGAATAATATGGTGATGATGACGATGACGATGATGCTGGTTGAAAACTCATTATGATATGACAATATATTTAGACTCCTAGATAAACAAAAATGAAGAAACAATAATACAAGAAAACAGATTAAAGATTTGAAAACCCTATTCTATGTAGTAATTAAAACAAATAGAAGTGTCTTGTATTGAATGATAAGGTACCTATGAATTCAATTCGACAGAATAATATAATGTGGCGAATAAACAGCTTAGTGGTTTAAGCGTTTAACTTACAAACAACCGAAGGTTTAAACCCAGTTTTATTCATTTTAGTTTGTGGTAGTAAAGTAGTGTAACTAGTCTTTATACAAATAGCTTTGTAAAATATCGAATACACAAACACCTATACATGGCAGATAGGTTACAGTTCGAAAACAAAAAGAATAATCTTGTTGAATGTGTTGTGTTTTCTGCGTTAAATGTTTTAGTCTAGCTCATAGTTAACAATACCTCCAGCGAACTCATTCATCATCTGGTCGTAATCTTGAACATAAACAGTACGCTCTGTCCCCAATAATTGAATGGTAAACAATGAATTTCCGCTTTAATATTAAGGGACTTTAGACAAAAAAATCTGGATGTCAAGAATCCAAAAGAAGGAAATGCAATAAAATGCTGCGCTAACCAGTTTAGTTTACCTTAATGTAACCGAGTAATCAAATTTAGGTTTGTTTACCTCTAATTTAACTAGGTTTCTAGTTTTGTTTGAAAGGTAGCGAGCGATACTACTCAGATGCCTACAACGATGTAAGACACCTGATGCTTCTAGTTGCTTGAACCTTATATATATATATATATATATATATATATATATATATATATATATATATGACTCGTCAGACGTATTTACCTACATCCTGAAGTTGATTTTTACTCTGAGACTCAATTGTAGTCCCCAACATCAATGGGAAAATCCAAACAATCGATAAAAATGAATTAAAATTCACCTCATTGTATAAACCAGTGGCTATCTGGACTCAGTAGCTAAGTGGATAACAAGACAGCATTTGGAGTGAACGGTATTTGTTTCGAGTCTCGGACTGAAAATCTACTCTGGGATGCAGATACATCCCAGCTGATGAGTCTCAAATAAGATGAGACAAGTATCTTGCATTCCAATACTAGCCATCATTAATTTCTGTTTATAAAACTTTTATGGTTTAGAGTAATGAAATACAATTGTGAAAATTCTTGAAGTAATTTATTCTACTCAAACTTAATCTAGTCAACAATTTAATATTATTGTATAATATGTATTGATACAATTCGGAAATAAATAAATAAACATATAACTCTTGTCAACAGCATTATGTAAATTTATGTAAAATAAGGTAAGTGACGTTAATAAAACAACCAGAGTATCAACTATATACCCGAAGTGATATGCATTAATTAATTATTTCATCAGTATTTATCTAAATTAAAAAGAAATCTATACTAACTATTCAAGAATATAATAATCTTATTATTAATCCCAGCTAATCAATTACAAAGATGGAATAACCTATGAAAATTTAACTTTCTGAGGTTTGTTCTCTAAGCTAAGAGAATAAAACTTCATCAAAATCATTTACCTGAGCTACAAATCTTCACCATCTCCAATGAGAATAGTATTCAAGTTACTAGTGATGTATTACAAGTTCATTAACAACAATCTATCTATCTATCAACTCAAAATGTATGTATCTAATTTATACAGAGAATCTGTATAGTATTCAATTATACTAGTTAAGCTATTACACTAAACTCTAGATTTTAGCCAGAATTAATTGACTTTAATGTTTATTTATATTTTTAAAACTAATAAATGTATCACTAAAGTAGAAAGAACAATAACAAATATGGTAGAATGATATAGATTCATCTATTTCTGCTTCTTTATAACATATAAAGAAATGTAATAATGATTTAAAACGAATATTATACTACTGAAAATCAATGAACTCATAGTAATAAACATGGAAGAATCCTTTTATGGTTAAATGTCGTAGTGATTAAATATTTATATTTTTATCATCTCTAGGAAAATGAAAATTGATGTCAGAGGTTACGTAATAACAACTATATTAAGAAAAGGAATGAAAATTAAAGCTACTAGAGTAGTGTATACGAGATTGACACAATTGTATCTTTCGAAATGTACAAGTTCGATTTAAAAAAGATACAATTCTAAATCTTGTACTATTCTAGTGACATTAATTTTCAATACTTAATTAGATCATTTTTCTTTGCTTCATTTCTCAGTACTTTTTTTTTAAAGATTTATTCACTTCACTCTGGTATTCCATCCATTTGCATAGTTGTAAAAATACATAAATTCCGATATTCATTTTCAAGAAACTTTTCTTCTTATGTACAACACTGAAATACAAAGACATAACGAAATATTGGTTGCTTAATGCAACTCTCTGAATAAAAACATAATCAAATTGGTAAGATTACACATGGTCAAAAGTGTTTGCAAGTTGACTAGACAACTTAGAACCCGCGTACTCCTTACTAATAGTTCAAATTGAAAAAATAAATCACAAATAACTGTTTTCTATTTAAAAAATTTTTCAAAACACTTGTCATTTCGAAGATAAATAAACATTATTCTAGATTACCACTTTCTGCAAAACATTTGCACATAATTACCAGAGTGAATTTGTCTATATAGAAATATCTTTCATAAATTGCTTTTTAATCATATATAACCTATACAATTGAACGATAGAACATATTTAGTGTACGCTACTTAAGTTGTCATACAAATCAGAAGTGAATGGCAGCAGGATGTTTAGGAAATCGAAGAGAAGAGAACAGGAACAGAGAGTAGTTGTAATATCAATAAAGGAATGAAGAAGTTTGAGACAATTGGTGGAGGGTTTGCAAATGAAGTAATTGATGAGTGGTTTTCACAGTTTACGAAAGAGCTCTGTAATTTTGTGTTAAACAATAAATTCGTTATCCCCATCTAAGTTCTCTTTCATTACACATACACTAACAGGTACATAAACCAAGACATAATTGAACAATACTAATGGTATATAAAAAATTCAAAAATAAAACCAACACCAGTAAACTAGTGAAAAAACGAGAATATTGGATAACTGTTTCATTTAATTACATTGTAAATTGTCAGTCAGTATTATCATCAAATAAATAAGTCTATGAAAAAAAAGGTTGAAACTGAAAAGTTTCCAACTGCTTTCTCCATAATGCACTCAACGATATACCTAAAACTAAGATGTCGAGGATGATCCGGGTATGAATCAACCAGGAAGCATTAGTTGGTTTAAAATTGAAGGTATGTTATGCTAGGCAAGTGTCAATTAGTACAAAACCTAAGTTCAGGATTTTCAGCTGACTACCTCCCACTTCTTAAAATCAAAACATAATGTATGCGATGTCAAATCACCTTAAATGGTGGTCAGTCAATCAATAGAATTCGACTAGATCTAAAAGTGACTGAATAAACATGACTCAGTGAGTCGATCGATGTTTAAAACTTATTAGATAAAGTATAATTTTTGGAAGTTGATGCTTAAAGCTAGAAGTAACTGGTGTTTTCCTATTTTAGGATAGTGAGGTTACTTCACAGGTTGATATTAGATGGTACTTTACTGATCGATACTTTAAAAAGTGCTGACAGAAAACAGTGGATATTTTCTCTTTGAAGTATACCACAAGACATTCACATTGATTGTTTTGAATTCAACAAAAAACTATTTTGCTTATTACTAAATGTGTACATTTATGAAACTATATACTAGTTAGTCGCTTCATTTTGAAACGTAGGATCTAATACAAAACCAAAGTTGTACACTACCCTGATACAAAACTCAATAACTACAAGCCAATAGTATATTTGTCTGGAAAAAATCTCACATATTAATCAAATTATGTGTGTCAACATAATTAAATCTTTTTTTTCGAGAAGCATTTGCAACTCTAGATGGTCAACTGTAATTTCTATCCTTGTTGTTTACTTCATGTTTTCAAACATCGTCTTGTCATTCAGCCATAATCGTATTAAACAATTATTTAAATTTTTTTTGTCTTTTATCTGACATGATGTAGAAAAAACATGCACTTAGTTATGCTGAAATTGAATAAATCAAAGCAATTCGATTGTCATGAACAAGTTATCGGTTTAGTTTATTAACGATAACTTTTATCTAAGGATCAATACAAAATTGAGTATTAATGAATCAGGACTACAACAGAAATTAAGTTGTGAAGACATTCAGATCAACTAAGAGTGATTTACACCGACAAGCTTCAAGTTCCGTAGCCAAATCGATAACTTAAAATCATAGAGTCGAATCTGTGTACAGCTGGTGTAGACTGTTAAAAAAATTTAAGCCAAGGAAAGGCAGTTATCGAGCCTTCTCTATAGTTTTCCAAGGTCCCTCAATTAATGTTATTTCATGATATAATCTGACTTTAACTAGAATAAAATTCATCAATCGCTTATTGAAAAAATTATTTCGCAAGAAATTAAAAATAATTTCCAGTCACAAATAAACTTTCATTTATCAGTCGTGGATTATACTCTAAATGAACATGTAGTTAGTGATTGATTTAAGAAGTATACAACTTCTGACATTTGTAAAGTAAATAAGCCCCAAAACTAAGATTCAGTGCTTTAAAAAAGAATAGAGAAAATAAAACAAGATGGTAACTTTTGACATAGTCAGTTAAAGATTGTAGAATTATCAATAATATGAGACAGTAATCTCGAAATTCTACTGCTAAACACCATTTAAGTAATACCATAACCAATACCAAGTTATCTGTTCAGAATTGATGAATGTGGAAAGTAGAAAATTCTTATACTCGATATCTGTTAAATGAGGAGTTGTCAACCGTAAGTCTGTAGCCTAACATGTATAGATAATCAACCGTCTAGTATTTAAAGAAATAACTGGGCAAACAAAAAAACACTAAAAAAAATAAGGAAAGAATATTCAATTGAGTCCCATAGACAATCATGTAAACATCCTGTATTTCAGTGATACCCAGTTTCAAACATAATTTATAAATTCATTCAAAGTAAATGCT